AATCCCAGGCCCAGGACTATGAGTTTTGACAAATACAAGCCAGGGATTTAGCTCAGTGGTTCCGCCATCTGCCTCAAAAGCACAAGGTCCCGAGTTTGATCCCCGATACCAAAAAAAAACCCAAATACATAAAGTCATATAGTTAAGGTACAGAATAGATCCACTGCCCCTCAAATTCTCTCTTGCTCCTGCTTTAGGACCTCTTGCCACTACTGATGTGGCCTCAACCTTCAGTTTTGTCTTTCCCAGAATGTCCTATAAATGAATTATACAACAGGCAGCCTTTGGAGAGGCTTCTTTCATTTAGCATAATAGATCTGAGATCCCTAGGAGTAGGATCAGCTGTTTCATTCCCTGGAACAGCCAAGAAGAAAGACCTAACCCCTGGGCCTTCCTCTGCAGCCATGTCTGAGCTCAGCGATGAAGCCAGTGAGCCGGAGCTCCTGAACAGCAGTTTGTCCATGTGGCACGGGCTGGGGACTCAGGTCAGCCGGGAGGAGCTGGACGTCCCCCTGGATCTTCACACAGCGGCTTCCATTGGCCAGTATGAGGTGGTGAAGGAATGTGTGCAGCGGTAAGAGGTCCTGGGGAGCGTCCCTTTGTCTCACATTTTTAATAACATCTCAGTGGCTTCAGAGCCCATGAGATGGACCTTGCATATAGTTGTAGACATCTGATACCCATGGATGGGCAAGCCCTGGTGGTTGGGCCCATTATCAGTGATGACTTATGTTGGCAGTAACAAAGAAGACAGTTTTGCTGGGTGTGATGGTGCATGCCTGTAATCCCAGCTACTCTGGAGACTGAGTCAGGAGGATCACAGGTTCCAGCCCACATGAGCTACATGGTGAGACCTCATGTCAACAGTAAAAAGGCTGGGGATGTCACTCAATTACAGCACTTGCCTAGCATGTGAACAGTTCTGAGTACAATCTATGGTCAAAAAAAAAGAAAGAGAGAGAGAGAAACTTTGATTTTAAGACAGAAAAAGATGGCTTAACCTTTTCCTCCTCAGTTCCGGGAATGGTACCCAGGGCCTCATACATGGTAGACCAGAACTGTACCACTGAGTTACATCTTCAGACCCAAGATAATTTAAACTTTATCATAGACTCTCTTTGATCATAGGCTTATAAACATTAATCTATACTTTTACTAGTATAGCTGTAGGGATTCACTGACTGCAAACCGCACCCCCCCCCCGAAAAAGAAGAAAACAAAAATGAAGATAGAAAGCAGTACCCATTGGCCTTCTTTGCCCAGAGAGTTCATTTTTATCCCCTGGGGGCCTCCTCTCCTCTCTTACCTTCTATGCAGAAAAGAGAGGCTAGGTTTTTGGCTCTCCTTAGAGAGTGGCCTCCTGCCCTCATGGTCCACCTGCCAGTGTTACTAGTCTACATAGCAGTATTTAGTCCCAGTACCATAAAAAGCCATGGCAGGGCCCAGGGCTATGTTTTACTCATAGTATAGTATGATTCTTCCAGTAACTTGGGGAGAAGAATTTGTGTCCAGCCCCTTGTGTGTTTCACCATACTTTACACTCACACTGCTTGCCATTTCTCATTTGGTAACTTGGTGACATGATGTTTGTCTACATCTCTGATGCCTTCTCTAGTTCCTGGTGAGCCAGAGCAAAGCCTCGTTGAAGCACCAGGTCTCCAGTTCCCAAGTTGTTGCCATCACTCATAAATCCCTAGCCAAGGCAGTACCAGTGTCTGGTCCAGGGCAGTCTGTAGTACTCCTTTACCAGGAGGCTTAGGGATAGCCAGCTTGGTATGCAGTCCCATGTCTCCTTGAAGGGTCACCAAGACCCCCGGTATAATTCTCTTCTGGAAATCTCAGGCTCTGAGGTCTTCGAGTGGCCTGTGAAAAATGTAGCCCAGAATGGCTCCACAGAGAAGAGGAGCGGGGTTTGTACTCTGCCTGGGATTCAACATTAGCTGAGAAGGAGGCTTCTCTGGACGGAAACGAGGCTTGACAAACATAAGTGTTTTGCCCAGGAGCAGGCTCCTCCCAGTCCTTGTGGAATTGCTGCTCATAAAGGATGGAAGTGCAAGGATGATGAATGGGGTCATTGAAGCCATCTGCAGAGCCCCCTCTGTATGCTCTTGGCAGGGCTGCCACTGTATTCCTGTGATCAGGACCTTTCAGGATGGCTGCCTGGGTGTGCATCCCAGGGTGTGCAAGATGCTAGTGAATGGCGAGTAATTGCCCGGTGTAGCTTAGCATGTGGATCCTAAGAGAGGCACAAGACATGTGGACAGATTGTTGTTCCTGCCACTGGAAGCCCAAATTGTGGAAGGGGAAAGGTTGGTGGGGCCTTCACCGTGCAACTGCTCCTGGGAGTGGGTGTTATCTTAAACTATGACTCCCATACCCCAGTTTCAAAGTCTGAGCCAGGAAACCTGCATTTTTTTCCTGTTGGAAAATGCATTTCCAGAATTGTAATGGAAATCAGTGAGAAAAAATAGGATTCTCTGGTCACAGATTTTTCAAGAATGTTTCTATAGTGTGGTAACAAAGTCAGTGGCAGTGGTTCTTGTGCGAGGTCTGAGTCCCTTTCTCCATCCTTGATGTCCCTTTCTCCTTCATTGTTGACCCTCTACAGCCAGCTCTGCATTAACACACCAGACACTTATCCAGTGGTAGGTGGTCAGGGTGTCTCAGCCTCTGCTCTGCTGACAAACCAGGCCAGCTCAGTCTTTGCCAAGGTGCATCTTGTATACTGCATGTTCACATCCTCCCCCCTCCACCTGCATCATGCCAGTGGCTCCTTGCCCAGTCATGATAACCCAAAAATGACCCCAAACCTTGCTGAATGTCCCGTGGTTGAGCAACATGTATCTCACTGATAGTACGAAAGAAAGGAATCGATGGTCCAGGCTAGGAGGAGGGGCAGCTGAGAATATGACATTAGAGAAGGGAGACAAGGACTTTTTAAAGGTGGGTGTCTAAGCAAGTGGAAACATTTCCCTACCTGCCTTACCATGACCCTGGGGACATTTGGAATGGCAGCTCCTCCAGCCTGGCCTGGCCTTGCCGACAGCTCTGGTGAACCCCACAAGAGACAGTGGGGCGCGTCTAGTGTATCTTGCATTTGTTTAGGAGAGAGTTAGATTTGAATAAGAAGAATGGTGGTGGCTGGACCCCGCTGATGTATGCCTCCTACATTGGACACGATACCATCGTGCACCTGCTGCTCGAGGCAGGGGTGAGTGTGAATGTGCCGACCCCGGAAGGGCAGACTCCACTGATGCTGGCCTCCAGCTGTGGCAACGAGAGCATCGCCTACTTTCTCCTCCAGGTGAGCTATGAGGGGGCAAAGGCCCAGCAACCCAAGGGGCTCCCTGGCTGCCCTGACAGGACATGAGGCGCTGCAGGCCAGGGTGTGTGTGTGAGCACACCATCACTTCCAGTTCTTTCAGCTGAGGGCCTGGAGGGCGCTGCCTGCCCATCTGCTCACATCAGAGAGTTGGGCTTTAACCTGTGCTCTGTGTTTTCTTGAAGCAAGGTGCGGAGCTTGAGATGAAAGACATTCAAGGCTGGACTGCGCTCTTCCACTGCACCAGTGCCGGGCACCAGCAGATGGTCAAATTCCTCCTGGACAGTGGGGCGAATGCCAATGTGAGGTGATTGCCACGGGAGTGGGCTAGGTCTTGTCTGACCTAGGGAGGATGGCTATAGAAGCCACTAGCCAGAGGTCAGCACCACCCCGCCTTGGTATGAGAGGTGAAGATGAAGGGGTGGAATGGACAGGCCCACCCAGGTGTGAACTGTCTGCCCTCCTGTCAAGACATCCACTGCATCTTCCTAGGGCTCTGAGCTTCATTTTCTTTATCTGAAAATGGGATAGCAAGTCCTGTGTCAGAGTGTTGTTGGAAGAATCACATGTTACAGCCAGGTGTGGTGGTGCACACCTGTAGTCCCAGCTCTCTCGGAGGCTAAGGCAGGAGGATCACAAATTCGAGCCCAACGTGGACAACTTAGCAACATAGTGAGACCCTGTCTTAAAATAATTTTTTAAAGAGGCTGGTGTGAAGACCCTGGCTTCAATCCTCAGTACTACAAAAAGAAAAAAGAGAATTACAGTGGTACCTCATGAACTTAATTTGTTCCACAATTTTGGAAAAGTTGGCCGCATTTGTGTTTGTCACCCGACGTAGAGTTTGCATACAAAAGCAAAATTTTGCCAAACGCTCTTCACAAGAATGTCAAACTCAAAAGATGGAATTTGTGTAGAGAAGTAGGACACATTAGCTTTCTGTGAGAAATGAAGAGTAGTAGCTGCTTTTGAGCATGATTAAAGTGGGGATTTAGGAGAAGCAGGTGCAAACAGCCTTGAAGGAGGGGAGGAGGCCCTCTCCGTCTTTAGGACAGGAGGCCAGCACTGGGGATGGGCCCAGAGGGAGAGTGAGCATACACTACACTCTGCGCTTAGGGGTCTTGGTGTGGTTTGTCTTCGGCAGGGCAGCTGTCGCATGACAGGACTTGTCTCTGCCAATCACCTGACCGGCCTGTCTTGCAGGGAGCCTGTATATGGATTTACTCCTTTGATGGAAGCTGCTGCTGCTGGCCATGAGATAATTGTGCAGTATTTTCTGAATCATGTAAGTGACCCTATTGATTAATTTATAATGTAGTTACAACAAATGAGGTGCCATATCACTGAAATATGAACTGTAACAGAATTTTCTTTTACACATTCTTACACATTCTGCTTTTCATTCATTTATTCAGTACATTTTCTTTGAAAATCTATTGATGCCAGGTGTTTTGGTTCCTCGGCACTAGGGGTACTGTGGTGAGTAGAATATGACCTGTGATGATCTTGAAAATGCTCTTTAAAAATAGCAGTTCACCCCTGTAATCCCAGCTTGGAGGGAATAGGTATTGGTGAGGAAGATTTCAAGTTCAAGGCCAGCCTGGGTGACTTAGGCTGGGGATGTAGCTCAGTACTCTCTGAGTTCAATCCCAGTACCACAAATAAATAAGTAAAAAGAGACAGTATCAAGTGTTAGTGAGGATGTAGAGAAATTGGTACCCTCATACACAGCTGATGGGGATGTAAAATGGCCCACTCTTTGGAAAACAGTCTGGAGATTTCTCAGACAATTACATACACCTAGGGTTACCATAGGACACATCATTTCTACAAGACTCGAAGATCGGTGTCCTCACAGAATCTTGCATGTGAATATCCATAGCAGTAATATTTATAATAGCCAAAAAGTAGAAACAACCTAGATGTTTTGTAATCTGTGTCTTTTTTCTTAGTGATGTTTTGTGCATGACTATGCAGTCACTGGACCTGCGCACACACACACACACACACACACACACACACACACTCTTTCTGGTGTGAATGGGCAGGAAGGAGGAGCTTGACTGTTTGCTATGACTTAGTTCACTGGCCCCCTATTGTAGGTTCTTTCTGGTTCTCATTATGCTGAATGCTGCAGTGAAAATCCTACATGTTTTGAGTATGTCCTTAATTATTCCCTTAAGCTGAATTCCTAGAAGTGCAATTGGCTGGGTGGCAGGTTTTGACACATTTAATGTTCTACATTCAAGTTCCTCCTGCTGATTCCCCCTCCAGAGACTTGGGGAAGTGCTTGCCACCATCAGATGTGATGTGTATGGCTGCAGCTTTTAAAATTAAAAACCTTATCGGGCTTTTCCACTTTCAAAAGTAAACAGGCTTGGGCTAGGAATTTAGCTCAGTGGTTTCGCCGCCTACTGCACAAGCACAAGGACCCAAGTTCGATCTCCGGTACCAAGAAAAAAAAAAGTGAACAGGCTTATGCTAGTAGATACAGAAAATACAGAAGGTCAGAAAGACTGGAAAAATGCCCATCGTTGTACTGCTTAAAATACTGTTAGCATTTGGAGCATGTTTCCTTCTGATACTGCTTTTTTTGTGTATGTACTCCACCACCACCCTGTACTAGGAATTGAGCCCGTGGCCTCTGCACCGAGCTACGCACCTAGCCCTTTTTCATTTATTTATTTTTTCTTTCTTTCTTTTCTTTCTTATTTATTTATTTTTTTAGTGCCAGGGATCAAACTCGGAACCTTGAGCTTGCAAGGCAGGCAGCAGAACCACTGAGCTAAATCCCTGGCCCTGTTTTTATTTTTTTGAGACAGGGTGTCACTAAATAAATTGCCAGGGCTGGGCTTGAACTTGGGATCCTTCTGCCTCAGCTTTCCAGAGTGCTCGGATTACAGGTGTGCTCCACTAAACCTGGCTTCTGTGCACTTCTTGTTTCATCCTGTTTGGCTGGAATTATGATTTTGGGGGTTTTTTGCCTTCTAAACATTTTTTAAATGTTTATTTTCAAAATATATAAATATATATGTACATATTTGGCAAGTTTACTGCTCAAGTTAAGATTGTAACATCTTTGGGCTGGGGATTTAGCTCAGTGGTTCTGGCGCCTGGTGCACAAGCGCAAGGTCCCGAGTTCAATCTCGGTACCAAAAACACCCCGAAAAACCCAAAACAAAAAGATTGTAACATCTTTGCTTATGCTTTTCAGGTCTTATGTTGTGGTTTCTCTCTTCTTCTAGGTGACTGATAATTATTACTTTTTAAAAAAGAATGCTTTTCTTTCGAGAAACCTGAGGCTGTAGATCCCTAATCATGAGGCTTCAAAATACCAAAATAGTTCTATGCTACAGATTAAGAGATCAGTTCCATAAATGTATTGTATCAGAGCAGATTTCAGCATTCTTTTCAATAAATTTAGATATGGCATAATAAATATTAAGTATGTAGATATTAAGTGTGTTAGTGAACACAGTATGCTTGTTTTGCTGTTCTGACTCTGCAATCATAATGACCTCCCTATCTCCGTAATTTTTTTAATCAATTGAAGCAACAGCATAAGCTGCACTTTCAAACAAGCTCTCTAGCCATATAAGATTTTTTAAAACTCATTTAGTAATGAATAACTACAGCAGCAGTCTCCTGCTTTAAAAAAAAAGTTTGCAAGTTAGAAGTACTTATTACCATTTTATAGGTCACCATTAAAATCTAGTTGTGATACTGAAGCAGTGCTTGAAAAATTTGATACTGTGAAATACTTCTCACCTTCACCTGCCCTCTCCCAACGTTGTGTTGACCAGCTCACTCTCTTCACAAGAAGCCAAGAGTGCTACTTTTAGTCTTAACTGCATTTTTTAAAAAACAAAGATAACATTTTTTCAGTGCATGAATATCTGAATATCCTTCTTTGTACAAGTACTTTTTTTAAGAGGAAAAGTAAGAGAGAGAGAAAAGCAACAAGAACCCCGCTCTCACCCTTCCCGTCATACTTTTCCTGGTGGATAAAAATAAAATTTACTTTTAAAAGTTCATAATGGGCTCTTCATGAATGCAAGTTTCTCCACAAAACAGCATACTGTTAACAAAGTGTGCAACATGAAGGGAATGCCATCATGCTAACTAGCGTGACTGGTAAAACAGACTGGTTCTGTAAATATAAGGCAGAGATTTGAATATTTATGCAATCAAAGTCCAAATAAACCTTTCTCCAGCTCAAACTGTGACAACTTTCTGCCCAAGCACTCCAAAATCCCCATTCTTAGTAGGGTCCATGATATTCAAAATATGCCATATATATGAAAGTGATGATATCAGATTCATCTTTTCTGATGTATTTGTGCCCTATTAGCCATTCTATTTGCTCTTTTATCATTTTCTTTTGTGGTAAGAACATAGTTTTCGAAATTTCTATTAATTCAGTCTGCAGCTGAGTATTACTAATTTTCTTTCTCATTTTCATTATTTGTATTATAGCTTCCTGGGTTCTCAATATTCTACGTTGAGCTATTCCTTTATTCTCTTCTTCCCTCATCCTTTCTGTAGTGATTGCAAGTGTCCAATCAAGTTGATTTTACCCTTTTCTGAACTTCTGCATTTTTTATTAAACTGAACTCCTGGTTCACTGAGAAGAGGGTACCTTCTGTGAAGTCTTCGGGTGAGCTTACTTGAGGTTCATACAATAAAACTTAAAATTTGAGCTTTGGGAAAGCTACTAAAGACCATAAAGTCCTTCTAAGTTCAGCGTCTGGGAGTTCAGTTGCAAGTTTTAGATTTTCAAAGCTAATTTTTTTCTCTGGGTCTTTGGTTCCATGCAAAAAGTGCAGCCAGCTGAAACGTGGTTACCTCCAAATCATATTGACCTACTTCATTCTTAAATGTTATAATTCCATTTGACATGAGATGATGGCAGTGTAATTTTCTACCACTATGATTTTTTTGGTAAAATTCTACTTCAGGAATCAAATCCTTCACTTCAATAGGAAGTGAAACAAAGACTTTCTCAGAGCTTCTTGACCAGGCACCAGCATTCAGAATTTTTATGTTAACAGAATCAGCTGGTCAAGCCAACTTATTATTTTTGTGCATTTCCTTAAAAGCTTGGTTCAAATCTTCAGATACTTTTATGTCCTGAAACATCCTAGCAAGCTTGTTTACATAATCTGCTGGCATACCAACTTCTCTTAACCATTCTACCTTCCAATTTCATTATCAGCAGAGATGTCTGATACAAGATGTGTCAAATGAGCTTTGTGATACCTCATAAAAACATCTTTGTTTTGTACATATTTAAGTATCAGGAGCACTTCTTTAAGCTTTGCTTCAATCTCTTCAGAGGTTAGTTTTTTACTCAATGGTGTTTTTCTCAGCAACATGTCACAGTAATTGGCAAGCAACTCAGGGCACTTTGGTTCAGGCTGAGTTTTCAACCCCACTCCTTTCTGCTTCAAAGGTAATTCAAGTTTAAATATGGTAGCATCATTAACAACAGCTTTATATGCCTTATCTCATGCAGTAAGAAATCGTGGATCATCCTGAAAAGCTTCTTTGACGAGTTTACTAGATCTATTAAATAATGTAAGTAACTGCTCAACATATTTCTCAGAGTCAATGGTAATAGTTTCAGCAGCTGCTACCATATCTGCCAGGCCAGCACTTATAATGTATTCCTCCAAGTCTTTCAGCATTGGCTCTATCCCATTAGGAACTTTGTCCATCAATGAACACATTAAATGTAACTTTTCAGTTTCATTTCGCTTGGCACTCCACTAAGATAGTCTCTTTGAATGATGTTACCGAGGCATTCACACAGTATTCCATGAGAGCTTCAACAGAGGTACATTCTCGTCTTGTTTCTAAATAATGTGCTAGGTTTTCTTCTTTTAATTTAGCATCTGCATATTTCATATAATTCTGTACACCATTTTGCTGTAAATATGAGGGTGCCTGTGTTCTATAAAATTTCTCTGTTGAATCCAAGTATGCCTTCTCAGACTTGTTCCTATAAATCTGAAGCTTATCCTCAGGATTAGAACAAAGGTTAACATAGGATTCTCTTACTCCAGTGACCAGCTGAGGATCAAAAGCTTCTCATCTTTCAGCGTGTACCAGCTTCATTGCACTTATAGTCTGTCTTTAATATTTGAAGAAATGGATTCATTCCATGAATCAAGCATGAGCATGTATCTAGGACTCTTCTATGTATTTTTCACATGAAACTCATTTAATCCTCACAAACTTGACATAGGATTGCCACAAGTTCAAGGCCAGCCTGGAATACATAGTGAGACTGTCTCAGAGGAGAGGAGGAAGGGGAGGAAAAGAGGAGGAAAAAGAGGAGGAGGAGGAGTTGGAGGAGGAAGAGAAAGAGAAGAAGAACAAAGGGAGAGTGAGGAGGAAAAAGCGGAGGAAGAATGCGATGATGATTTATATTCTGTAGTTTGTTTCCCTTTTTTCTTTTCTTTTAAATCATGATCCTTTTTCAGCTTGGCTATACCAACTGTGAATGTCAGCACTTAGGTCAGAAGCGTGGCTGACTGTCCACAGGGCATTTGTATCTTCGCTGGGTTCCTGTTGCAGATATGCTGTGCTAAGCATCTGTATGCATGAAAGCTTCGTTTGTATTCAGGGTTTTTCCTTCACGTAGATTCCACGGATGTGGAATTGGGCTTACAGAGTGTAAATGCATTTTAGGGCTTTGGATAAAAGGTGCCACCCTGTTTCAGAGAGTGACATCTTCATTCTGAGGTCAGGCTCTGAGTTGCCTCTCTGGCAAGCCAGCACTCCCTGTGCAGAGGGAGCCAGGCATGGCTGGTTGTAAAACTGGTGGAGAGGGGTCCTCCTTGTGCTGCAAGATCCCACGCCTGGCAGGGACCGTGTGTATGGACAGTTGCTCAGGCTTGGGGACTGCTGGTGGCGTGGCTACGGAGCCCATCCCGTCATTAAGAACAGAGTTAGAGCAAAACTCTGTCAAGCAGGCCTGCACTGCTTTCTCCCTATGATGTGGTGTTTCCACCTTGGGGAAAGCCTGTACTCCTCCCAGGCCAGCTGCCCAGGAAGCCCCAAGGCTGTGGATGGAGAGCTTCCTAACTCTTCTTTCACGGACTTTTACAGGGAGTCAAAGTAGACACAAGAGACCACAGTGGAGCTACAGCCAGGATGCTGGCCAAACAGTATGGACACATGAAGATTGTGGCGATGATAGACACTCACTCACCTACTCTGCCCAGGAACCTCTACCGGAGCCCAGGTAACCTGTCTGCCATTGCCTTCTGGTGAAGTCGGGTTGCCCTGGACATTAGGGGCATCCAGGAAGAAAGACGGCTGCCCTGCCAGATGCCCACTGCTTTTCTGAGATTGGCCTCTGTGTCCCTGCCTGGAGACCCTCTCTGGCTTCCCTCACCAGCTCCGTTGTGTAGTTGAGATTGAGAGCCCTGGACTGAGATAGTCAGATACTGCCCTGGAGACTAGCCCTGACCAGCCTGGAAATGCCCCCAGCATGCAAGTGTGGAGCCCCAGGAGGTGGGTATAGGAGGGAAGTGTCACAGAAGTTAGGCTGTGCTCGACTCATGATCCCCGTGACTCAGCCTCCCGGACTTCAGGGATTACAAAGCTGTATCACCACACCTGGCATGGTTTTTACTTTTTGACTTTGTGAATGGTGTCTGATGCCCTAGGTTTTAATTTTATATAGTCAAATGTATTTATCTTTATTGCCCCTGGTCTCATAGAAAATGTTTTCCTAGACCCTGGTTGTGTAAGAATTCACTCATGTTTTTTTCAAGTGCTTGTATGGTTTCATTTTTTACATTTAGTTTGCTGATGTGCTTTTTTTCAAATGTGATGTGAGGTATGGATCCAATTTTATCTTTTTCCAAATGGTTACACATGTGTCCCAGCATCGTCTATGTAAAAGTACATCTTTGACCTGGGACTGAGGTACGTCTTTCTTGTACACTGGCTCTTTTCCCATTTCACTTGGCTCCTTTCCTGCACTCTGTTGGTGTCTCTGTGCATCAAAACCGCACTGATCCAAAGCTTGTTGTTGAAGATTTTATTTCTGAGTAGTGCTGATACCCTCACAATTTTCAGTATTTCCCCCATGGTTGCTTGTTTCATTTTCTTTATGAACTTGAGATCAACTTGTCTAGCTCCTTAAGAATAGAATGTTGGGAGCCGGGGGTTTAGCTCAGTGGTGCCGCTGCCTGCCTCGCAAGCACAAGCTCCTGAATTCAATCCCCAGTGCCAAAACAAAAAAAACCAAAAAAAACAGAATAGTGTTGGCGTGTTTATTGAGAGTGTAGTAAATGCATAAATTTGTTGTCCTCAGTTGCTGGGTGGTCCCATCCCAGAGTGACAGAAGTGTTTTTGTTCCAATGTACTTTTGGGATTTGCAGGAAAGTTACATTTTTCCTCATATACCTTTTGCTTGTAACTTGTTTATTATGAAGTATTTGATCATCTTTGTTGCTCTTGTAAATGAGGTTTTCTCTATGTTATATATATATTTTTCCTTTTACTTGTACCTGAGGGTTGAACTCAGGACCTCACTGAGCACTCTGCCACTGATATACATCGCCACCCCTCTTAAAAATGTTTTTT